GGATATCGTGCACCGGGCATGTTTTTTTTTAAGTTTTATTTTCGCGCGAGACTTGAATTAATTCGCCAATTCAGGTCATTCGTGAAATGTGAAAAGGGGCGCAACTTAATTGGAACACATGGCACTGGGCGACTCTGATCACGAATTCAAAACGTTCGTGAAAAAACAAAATGGTCTAAACGTGGAAAAAGAGCCCGATGAAAAGAATCAGTGCACAGTACAGAGTTCACAAAACGGGCAGTAGTGACACCCCGCCCCCTCCCCCATAAATATAAACAAATTTAAAAAAACAAAAACTTTAAAATAATGAAATTGAAGAAAATTTTTTTTAAAAAACAGAAAAAAATAGATTAACAGACAGAATATGAGAGTTAACGAATAAGTAATGTAGTCAAGCAAAGCATCGGTTTATGAAGAATAAAAGATTACCACTATGAGTAACTCTGTTGTTAACCTTATAGTTTGTTGTTTTTGTTTTTAGTGTGTTTTATAGTCAGGATAGGTTTTTGAACAGTCTTTATCATGGTTGCTTCATGCTAAGCAGCCATCCCTTTTTATTTTTTTTATTTAAAAAAAATAATGTAGGGGCTTGTACGCCCCCATCAACACAACTTAGATAATTTAGGAGGCTGGCTCCAACTCTGGATGGCATCGCCAAACCAGGCTAAGAGAGATACAACCTCTTAGAGGAAAGGGCTAGGTATTCAATAAAAATTCTCCTCACACAGGAATCAAACTCAGGTCTTCTGCCTGCCTCTGCGAAGCGTCTTACGGCTACACCACAGACGATGGTGTTATTCCGCTGACGCTAGACTGTTCTGCAGAATTTTCATAACGGCGATGAACGCCATGGCTGGATATTTCCTGAATTGATACCAGATTGTCTACGCCGTATACGATTTCCCCAAAACAAACCTACAGTAGAACTCGCTTTAAACGTCCACCTGTATAAGACACCCACCCGTGCAAACAGTCACTTCCCATTTCATCCCTTGGGTATTTAAAAAGAACAACATGTTATGACACTGTGCAAGACGTCCATTATGTCCAAGACAACCACTGTTCCCATCGACAATGAATGGCTGTCTCAGATAATTTCGACTGTAATACGGGGTGCCCACTACGGATGAAATCGGCGGATCGGGCCGATCGCCCGACTCGGTGGCCTCAGAAACAAACGTCTTTGTTCTCAATTTCAGGCGATCGAGTTGGGGGATCTGCCCGATCCAGCCGTAGTGGGCACCCCGTATAAGGTGTAGTACTTAGTTTTGAAATTATTGGACGAGATAACAAGTGATCGTTCGATGGCGCCAAGACTTTAGAGAGAACTGTCTGGTCAGCAGAATTCAGTGAAGGGCGTGGGTTGGGACAAAGAGAGGGTGCATGGGTCGAAACGGGAGGGGGGAGGGACGCGCAGAAGGGGGCGGCAAAGGGATTGTTGTTGGGTTTTTTTAAATTATTTTTTTTGCCCCTCAAAATATACACCATGAAACACTGTCGTCCTCTTTGACAAGCTTTGTGTTGAAGCTTGAAATTCAATCACATCAAACAGGAGTTAAATCGCCATTAATTTTTGCTGACTACTATTTCCATAAACTTTACCCCGCTGCCGGCTGGGTGTATCCCAATCTTTTCAAGAGGTGCCGCCCACAATGTAATGTAGGTGGACAGTTTTATTGAGGAGGAACAGGACAATTTATGTGCTTGCACTTGTCAAGAACATTTTATGGCCCCGATATACACAAGTGAAACAGTGACCTGAAGTATAATTTTTGATCTTTTCCCCTCGTTTTAGTTCGTCTCTTACCTTTTCTCTTCATTTTTTTCACTCTTTCTCTTCCTTCTTCTTTCTCCCCTTTCTTTATTCTCTCTCTGTCTGTCTGTCTCTCTCTCTCTCTGTCTGTCTGTCTCTCTCTCTCTCTCTCTCTCTCTCTCTCTGTCTCTCTGTCTCTCACACTCTCTCTCTCTCTCACACACACACAAAC